CGTCATAACCAGAACACATACTGTACACTATACGTCATAACCAGAACACACACTGTACACTATACGTCACAACCAGAACACATACTGTACACTATACCTCATAACCAGAACACATACTGTACACTATACCTCATAACCAGAACACATACTGTACACTATACCTCATAACCAGAACACATACTGTACACTACACGTCATAACCAGAACACATACTGTACACTATACGTCATAACCAGAACACATACTGTACACTATACGTCACACTACACGTCATAACCAGAACACATACTGTACACTATACGTCATAACCAGAACACATACTGTACACTATACGTCATAACCAGAACACATACTGTACACTATACGTCATAACCAGAACACATACTGTACACTATACGTCATAACCAGAACACATACTGTACACAATACGTCATAACCAGAACACATACTGTACACTATACGTCATAACCAGAACACATATTGTACACTATACATCATAACCAGAACACATACTGTACACAATACGTCATAACCAGAACACATACTGTACACTATACGTCATAACCAGAACACATACTGTACACTATACATCATAACCAGAACACATACTGTACACTATACATCATAACCAGAACACATACTGTACACTATACATCATAACCAGAACACACACTGTACACTATACATCATAACCAGAACACATACTGTACACTATACATCATAACCAGAACACATACTGTACACTATACGTCATAACCAGAACACATACTGTACACTATACATCATAACCAGAACACATACTGTACACTATACATCATAACCAGAACACATACTGTACACTATACATCATAACCAGAACACACACTGTACACTATACATCATAACCAGAACACACACTGTACACTATACATCATAACCAGAACACATACTGTACACTATACATCATAACCAGAACACATACTGTACACTATACGTCATAACCAGAACACATACTGTACACTATACATCATAACCAGAACACACACTGTACACTATACATCATAACCAGAACACACACTGTACACTATACATCATAACCAGAACACATACTGTACACTATACGTCATAACCAGAAGACATACTGTACACTATACGTCATAACCAGAACACACACTGTACACTATACATCATAACCAGAAGACATACTGTACACTATACGTCATAACCAGAACACATACTGTACACTATACGTCATAACCAGAACACATACTGTACACTATACATCATAACCAGAAGACATACTGTACACTATACGTCATAACCAGAACACACACTGTACACTATACGTCATAACCAGAACACATACTGTACACTATACGTCATAACCAGAACACATACTGTACACTATACGTCATAACCAGAACACATACTGTACACTATACCTCATAACCAGAACACATACTGTACACTATACGTCATAACCAGAACACATACTGTACACTATACGTCATAACCAGAACACACACTGTACACTATACGTCATAACCAGAACACATACTGTACACTATACGTCATAACCAGAACACATACTGTACACTACACGTCATAACCAGAACACATACTGTACACTATACGTCATAACCAGAACACATACTGTACACTATACGTCATAACCAGAACACATACTGTACACTATACGTCATAACCAGAACACATACTGTACACTATACGTCATAACCAGAACACATACTGTACACTATACGTCATAACCAGAACACATACTGTACACTACACGTCATAACCAGAACACATACTGTACACTATACGTCATAACCAGAACACATACCGTACACTATACGTCATAACCAGAACACATACTGTACACTATACGTCATAACCAGAACACATACTGTACACTATACGTCATAACCAGAACACATACTGTACACTATACGTCATAACCAGAACACATACTGCACACTATACGTCATAACCAGAACACATACTGCACACTATACCTCATAACCAGAAGACATACACAGTACAAGCTATGTTACGTTAACATGGCCTAACTTTACATAACAGCCAAAGAGTTAACAGTTTACAAGGTGATATTTTCCGCAGTCCTCCCAATTGACACACACAACTCTTCAAACTTGAGCGAGAATAAGAATGGTTTTTTTTTTCATCACATTTCCAGTCATATTATACAGTAAATTCCGTACTTGTTTAGATGAATGGGAAGTGTTTGTTGAGGTGAGGTGAGGCAGGGCAAGGTGGAAGTGAGGTGAGGTGAGGCAGGTGAGGTGAGGCAGGGGAGGGGAGGGGCCATCATGAGCCACACACACCACCACCACACACACATTACCACAATACATGACCTCGTAAACGGTACCAAAATAGCTAGCCTTAGCATGATGGCCGACATTACCTCACTACTATGTCCTGGGTTTGATTCCCCGCCCGGGACAGATGTGAGCAGTGTTTCCTCCTGTACTAAAACTGAACAATGAAGAACAAACTCATGAGCAACAATGGGGAGATTAATCAAGCTACCGACCGACCCATGATGAGGAGTAACCGAGTGAGCGGAGTAACACCTAACACGGCTTTGTTTACGAGTGTTGCCTCCTACACCGCCGTGGCTCTCCTCGCTGCACTGGAGGTAAGCGAGGGAACATGACGCACCTTGAACTCAGCCCCTCCTTAGCGCCTTATTTTGAGAAACATGAGACAAATAAAACGTTCACTACATCGAACATTTTTCCTGCATGGTTAAGATAGTAGAGGAGAGAGATAAGAGTAGAGAAGGTAAGGGAAAATGTTAAGTTAAAATGAGACACAGAGAAGAGAAGTAAAGAAAGGAGAAGAGAATATTTAGAACAGCGAGAGGCGGCAGACTCAAGTAGCGAGCACCTTCATTCATCACTCCGCCTCCACTGTACCTCCTAGCAGAGCCCCTTGTAAGGTGGATAACACGCGTTAATCACCACACAGTAACATATCATGGCCGCCACAACAGAGGAGGAGGAGAGAAAAGAGTAGAAGCTGCATTCACTGGAGGAGATGTATTCTTTCTTGGGGCGACTGTTGAGGCAGGCAGGAGGAAGGTGGGGTGGTCAACAAGAGACTGATAACAAAGGAAGATTATCATGGGAAGAAAACCAGGGGTATACATCAATGGGCGTCTGTTAAGGGGCGGCCCCACGTTAAGAGTGTGGAGGACCTCTATAAGCTGGGCTGGGCAACTGACTTAATACCTGTTACGACCACTAGGACAGAGGCACACATCATCCTGTCAACGATCATGGTGGTGTGTTGACGGTGGTGATGACGACCATGGTGGTGTGTTGACGGTGGTGGTGACGACCATGGTGGTGTGTTGACGGTGGTGATGACATGGTGGTGTGTTGACGGTGGTGGTGACGACCATGGTGGTGTGTTGACGGTGGTGGTGACGACCATGGTGGTGTGTTGACGGTGTGGTGACGACCATGGTGGTGTGTTGACGGTGGTGGTGACGATCATGGTGGTGTGTGACGGTGGTGGTGACGACCATGGTGGTGTGTTGACGGTGGTGGTGACGAGATGATGGTGGTGTGTTGACGGTGGTGACGACCATGGTGGTGTGTTGACGGTGGTGGTGACGACCATGGTGGTGTGTTGACGGTGGTGGTGACGACCATGGTGGTGTGTTGACGGTGGTGGTGACGACCATGGTGGTGTGTTGACGGTGGTGTGACGAACGGTGGTGACGACCAGTGTGTTGACGTGGTGTGTTGACGGTGGTGGTGACGACCATGGTGGTGTGTTGACGGTGGTGGTGACGACAATGGTGACGACCATGGTGGTGTGTTGACGGTGGTGGTGACGACCATGGTGGTGTGTTGACGGTGGTGGTGACGACCATGGTGGTGTGTTGACGGTGGTGGTGACGACCATGGTGGTGTGTTGACGGTGGTGGTGACGACCATGGTGGTGTGTTGACGGTGGTGGTGACGATCATGGTGGTGTGTTGACGGTGGTGGTGACGACCATGGTGGTGTGTTGACGGTGGTGGTGACGATCGATGACGACATGGTGGTGTGTTGACGGTGGTGGTGACGACCATGGTGGTGTGTTGACGGTGGTGTTGACGGTGGTGGTGACGACCATGGTGGTGTGTTGACGGTGGTGGTGACGACCATGGTGGTGTGACGGTGGTGACGACCATGGTGGTGTGTTGACGGTGGTGGTGACGACCATGGTGGTGTGTTGACGGTGGTGGTGACGACCATGGTGGTGTGTTGACGGTGGTGGTGACGACCATGGTGGTGTGTTGACGGTGGTGGTGACGACCATGGTGGTGTGTTGACGGTGGTGGTGACGACCATGGTGGTGTTGGTGGGACAAGACATACACAGTTGTGAGGCAGCCAGGATAACGTCACATTATCATAGTGGCTACATTACTGTCACCGCTATTCATCCTCACCAGCTATTACGTTAAGCTCCTCACGCCTCCACAACCACCAGCTCAGCATAATACTGCAAGAGTTGTGGTCTGCCTGTAACTGTATACTGGAAGGTGACTGACTGTGGGCCGTCAACCATCATACTCCACGCCACGCACGCAAGCATCGTCTTCCCCTCCCCCTCACTACCCCCAGCCTCCAGCACCGTACCTGACCCCCACAACACCTGACCCCCACAACACCTGACCCCCACCATACCTGCCCATGACACCTAATCCACGTTCACCCACAACAGTCCCTGGAATATCGACACGACTGTTTTATCCGGCGGCGAGAAGCTGTACCACCACCAACAATACATCTTTGGCGGACACAAGATACCAGGAAAAACAGTGGAACTTTTCGGACTCGTCGGCATAGGTTAGGTTAGGTTAGGTTAGGTTAGGTTAGGTTAGGTTTGGTTAGGTTAGGTTAGGTTTGGTTTGGTTAGGTTAGGTTTGGTTATAAGAAAAGATAAAAAGACACGCGATAATATTATTGTTATCTCCCTCCACCACATCACCTCATAGTGTAGTGGGTGCTGCACCGCCCTACCACCTGTACCATCCAAGCAATTAACCTATTTTCTTCGCGGCTGTCCATCTCTCCTCTCTACTTAGCTATCCAATTGCTTTCTCTCTCCACCTGACCTCTCTACACAACCTTCCGGAGGCCACACCCAGTCCCACACGCTGTCTTATACAGGTAACTTGTCTACACTCCTCCCTACACCCTCATCACCGCCGCCCACCAGAGGAAACAGTACCGTCAAGTATGGCCGCCTCGCCCATACATCTAGTACAGCGAGGGTTGGTGTTATCGTGTCAGTTGCTACTTGTGTGAGGTCTCGTAGGCCAGGTGACCACATCACACCACCTGGAGAAGCACAAGTTGATCAATGATTCCTAACATGGCTTCACAAGCGGGCGTTCATGTCTAACTAATCTATTAACATTCTTTTCATCTGTTTTCGAATCAGTGGACGAGGGGCACAATTATGATGTGGTATATCTCGACTTTAGCAAAGCCTTCGACAGAGTCCCCCACGAAAGACTAATAAGAAAAGTGGAGGCTCATGGCATTAAAGGAGATATTCTAAAATGGATTAGGGCGTGGTTACAGGACAGAAAACAGCGAATGAGCATTAACGGCACTAAATCCCGTTGGAGCAACGTCACTAGTGGAGTTCCCCAAGGCTCAGTACTCGGACCATTATTATTTATTATATACATAAACGACATAGATATCGGCGTAGACAGCAACATAAGTAAATTTGCTGATGTCACTAAAATAGGGCGTGTTATTAAATCTGACGATGACTCCGCAAAACTAAAGGTAGATCTAAACAAATTTTTCGAATGGTCTGAAAAATGGCAGATGAGATTCAATGTGGACAAATGTAAAGTACTCAGTATAGGAGATGTAAACAGGGAAACCAGTTACCAGATGAACAACGATGTTATTAAGAAATCCGACTGCGAGAAATATTTAGGAGTAATGATAAGTAGGAATCTTAAGCCAAGTAAACAATGTGTATTTGCTCGAAACAAGGCTAATAGAGTACTTGGGTTCATACAAAGGAGTGTTAGTTACAAGACTTGCGAGGTCATCCTAAAACTATATCTTGCGCTTGTGAGACCTCACTTGGATTACGCAGTTCAATTCTGGTCACCGTATTACAGAATGGATATAGAATCCTTGGAAAGAATTCAGAGAAGAATGACAAGACTAATCCCGGGTATTAAGAACCTTGAATACAGAGACAGGTTAAAGCTTCTTAATTTGCACTCCCTCGAGAGAGACGTAGAGTGAGGGGCGACATGATCGAGGTGTATAAATGGAAGTCAGGGCTGAACAAAGGGGACATTACAAAGGTACTCTAACTATCCAACCAGGAGCGAACTCGTAACAATGGTTTTAAATTAGAAAAAAAATTGATTTAGGCGCGAAATAGGTAAACATTAGTTTGGAAATAGAGTAGTGGAAGAGTGGAACAAGTTACCAAACATCATCATTAACTCGAATACGCTGGATAGCTTCAAACAGGTTGGATGGATATATGAGAAATAGGAGTTGGGTGTGTATGGGACTGCCCAGTATAAGCCAATAGGCCCGCTGCAGTTTCCTCCATTCTTATGTTCATATGTACCGGCCTCGTCCTACCAGTGTGGCGTCTCGTAGGCGGGGTGACCACACTACCGTCTTCGCCTGCCAGCGTGATGTCTCGCAAGCCAGGTGACCACCCTGTCGGCCTCGCCGTCGGTACGGGAATGACGGCAGATACCTGTTGTTTAATTATTTCCGCTAATTGGAGGTGTGAGAAAGTATCTAAACGTTTCACTTCATTTACGGCCCCGAGATCAGTGGCCAAGTAGCATCTACATTACGTTCAAAAATTTGAATCACAAGTTGGGTCCTGATAATCTTGGTCAAGGAAAGACGTATAACATGTAAATCTTTGAGTGTGGGCCGTGTTGGGTGAGGGTGGGCCGTGTGGGGTGAGGGTGGGCCGTGTTGGGTGAGGGTGGGCCGTGTGGGGCGAGGGTGGGCCGTGCGGGGTGAGGGTGGGCCGTGAGGGGTGAGGGTGGGCCGTGCGGGGTAAAGGCTGGCCTCCTTACTCCCTCCCTTCGTTAGTAACAGATAATTAAAACAGATTTATCATTCAGAGGTGAGGTGGCCCGTAGCTACATTCGTGACCATCATGGCCCCGCCCTACATGGCCACCCAGTGATAGCCCTATTCTGCGGCTGGACCGTAACAACAACATGGCCACATTACAAATTTACTCAAAAAAATTCCCTCACCAGCCTAGTCTTAAGTCTGGTCAGCTGAGGCTTAAAGTCTGGTCAGCTAAGGCTCAACTACATCCCTTTTCGGTTTCTCTAAGACTTGTTACGAGTATTTTAAGCGATGTTAGATTTTCAAAGGTTTTTGTTTCTGTTCACAAGTAAACAATATATTTGTGACATCAACAAACAAATGAGAAAACTGGTTAAATTATGTTTACTTGAAGAGTTAGCTCATAAGGTAACTGATGACGTCACAGTATTGAAGCAGCCAGGTGAGTTTAGGTGTTCCTATGATACCTGTGGCAGGAGTACCTGGGGTGGAGGAGGAGCTTCCTAGAGGAGGAGGAGCTACTAGGGGTCGAGGAGGAGCTTACCTGGGGTGGAGGAGGTGCTTACCTGGGGTGGAGGAGGAGCTTCCTACAGGAGGAAAAGCTACTAGGGGTCGAGGAGCTTACCTGGGGTGGAGGAGGAGCATACCTGGGGTGGAGAAGGAGCTTACCTGGGGTGTAGCCTACATGGGGTGGAGGAGAAGCCTACATGGGGTGAAGGAGCCTACATGGGGGTGAAGGAGCCTACATGGGGTGGAGGAGTACCATGGGCTACAGGTAAGGGCGACGCTACACACACTCGGTTAGTGTCGGAAGTTAGGACCTTCTATGGCGGATGTTCTCACCTGACTGCTAATAAATGCTCCCTGCTGTTGCTCACCTTGAGACGACCAGCCACTCACTACCTCAGCAACACCGTCAGCCTCCGGGTTCATCATCAACAGTGGCACCAACATCAACAGTGGCACCATCACCAACAGTGGCACGATCACCAACAGTGGCACCAACACTCTTATCACCACTGAATAATCTACAGCTAAGGATCTCGACAACAATGGATCTATCTAATCAGTTTTTGGCCGGCAGTTCAGACCCTCGTACACCAATCTCACTTAACAAGAGGTGTGCCATCATCCCTGGAGGAAGGGGTGTGAAGGAGGGAGAGAGGGGTGAGGGTGTGAAGGAGAGAGGTGTGAAGGAGGGAGGGGGTGTGAAGGAGGGAGAGAGGGTGAGGGGTGTGGTGTGAGGGAGGGAGAGGGGTGTGAAGGAGGAGAGAGGGTGTGAGGGAGGAGAGAGGGGTGAGGGGGTGTGAGGGAGGGAGGGAGAGAGGGAGGGAGGGAGAGGTGTGAGGGAGGAGAGAGGGGTGAGGGGTGTGAGGGAGGGAGGGAGAGAGGGGTGTGAGGGAGGGAGGGAGACAGAGTGTCCACCTGAAGAACCATCACTCCACCCCATAATACAAGACTAATATACACAGTGTTGCAAAATTAACAGAAGATACAAGAATAATATAGATTATATTGGAAAATACACACTACTAACTACTTTATTCAATATTCCAAAATAAACGATGCATATTACAATGAGTGCTGAACAACAATTATAAACTTAGTGGCTTTATACTGCAGGCAGTCTTTTGTTTGGCACTTCCACAGAAAACCATCCTTCGATCTGGAGTAATTTGCACTTTACCATCTTAATCTGCACTCCCTCGAGAGACGTAGAGTGAGGGGCGATATAATCGAGGTGTATAAATGGAAGTTAGAGCTAAACAAATGTACTCAAACTATCCAACTAGGAGCGAGCTTGTAGCAATGATTTTAAATTCGACAAATTTAGATATAGGCGCGAGATAGGTAAACACTGGTTTGGAAATAGAGTTGGATGAGTGGAACAAGTTACCAAACATCATCAATAATTGGAATACGCTGGATAGCTTCAAACATAAGTTGGATGGATATATGAGCAATAGGGGTTGGGTGTAAACGGGACTGCCCAGTATGGGCAGCTGCAGTTTCCTCCATTCTTATGTTCTTATTCATCCAATTATCACAGCTGTCACATTTCACGCTTTAAAAGGCTGTTTTGTTGAAGCCACCGAATAACTTTTGAGGAATCATCACACAACCTAAGAAAATAAGCGCAAGATATAGTTTTAGGATGACCTCGCTAGTCTTGTAACTAACACTCCTTTGTAGGACGACAGTCTGAAAGTTAATGTGTGTCCTGGTAGGGTGATGATTATGACTACAAATTTGTGAGCCAGTGTTCTGACCTCACCATTTGGGCCTTCCACCAGACCTCACCTTTAGATTAACCAACCTGGAGGGTCCTGACCCCACCTGAAGAAAGGTCACCCCAGGTTGTCCCACCTGAAGAACCGTCACCCTGCCAAACTCTGGGGTGACGATCCTTCAGGTGATCCCAATAATAAAATAATAAATGGAGGTGGTTCCCGCTGCTCGCTGGAGAGACACACACTATTCACCCCATAAGTTAGTGTAGTGTAGTGTAAGAGCTTCCCGTATAGCGGACGATTCACACTTTTTATTATCAGTGAATTTTTTCTGGACTCCTGTGGTCATGTGATCCCCAAGGTCACCCCCCCCCCCATCCACACACCCTCCTTTCCCCTCTCTTCCTGGACACGAGCACGTACACAAGCGCACGCACATAAATAATGGTTGCCCCTCGTGTTACATAAGAATGGAGGAAACTGCAGCGGGCCTATTGGCCCATACTGGGCAGTCACATTTACCCAACCCCTATTGCTCATATATCCATCCAACCTATGTTTGAAGCTACCCAGCGTATTCGAGTTAATAATGATATTTGGTAACTTGTTCCACTCATCCACTACTCTATTTCCAAACCAACGTTTATATATTTCGCGCCTAAATCTAAATTTGTCTAATTTAAAACCATTGTTACGAGTTCGCTCCTGGTTGGATAGTTTGAGTACCTTTGTAATGTCCCCTTTGTTTAGCCCTGACTTCCATTTATACACCTCTATCATATTGCCTCTCACTCTACGTCTCTCGAGGATGGCCGAAGATGGCCGGCCCAAGGGCCACCTAGGCTTAAATTTGTTTAAGGTGTAGAAGCTGTCACCAACACAACAGCCACACCCTGAGTTAACGAGTTGCATGACTCGGTGTCAAGGAATAGTCAGAGAAGACCGGAAAACTCGCCAACTGCACTGGCTAACCATTACCCCGGAATACGATCCGCAAATCGATTAACATCCAGGTTCCCAATTACTGCTGAGTAGAGAGAGGCAAATGGCGTAAAGAAACTTGCCCATAGTTTCACCCTGCCCGAGGATGGAACCCGGGTCAGCTCGCTTGCGAGGCGAGAATGCCAGGTCGCCAACACGCACATACATACATACAGTACATACATATATACACACGCATATATATATAAACACATACACACACACAAGTCTTTCCGTTCATCATTCAGCTCAGCACCAAACACAGGGACAGAGTCACAGAATTTGAGGTTGGGGAGGCGGAGGGAGCCAGGGGTTACACCATCAGCATTACCATATCAAAGCCCTGGTGGTCATTTGGTTGGCCCACACAAGGTTCCTAGAGTTGCCGCCGCCCTACTTGGCAACACTTTTACACGCTGCAACACTTATTGATATAGTTACCGTAGTGTTTGTTGATAGTATACATAGTTACACGCACACACACACACACACACACACACACACGTCATATTTTAGGGGAAAAATTAAGAAATTCAAATAATTCAATCTCGCCTTCTGATTAACCATTATTAGTCTTTAATAAATAAATAAATAAATAAATAAATAAATAAATAAATAAATAGTATGTGTGGTGAATAATAATAAAATTAACCTTGAGGTGTATCAGGGTGGCTCACGCATCACTAAGGAGGGGCGGCGGGAAGCAGGGCGACAGGTAAGACGACACACAGAAGGACAGGTAAGAAGGAGAGGTAAGATAACAGACAGAAGGACAGGTAAGATGACAGACAGAAGGACAGGTAAGAAGGAGAGGTAAGATAACAGACAGAAGGACAGGTAAGATGACAGACAGAAGGACAGGTAAGATGACAGACATAAGGAGAGGTAAGATAACAGAAAATATGACAGGTAAGATGACAGACAGAAGGACAGGTAAGATGGCAGACAGAGATTTTTCACCTGATCTTGCACATGGAATTCACACTCCCAAAACGTTGATTAACAGACACAGGTTAACAGTCACGTAGTTAAGTACAGGTACAACAACAGCCACACAGACACACGGTACTCTACAGACATATCATGCACCCACACCATCGCCCGCCCACCCCTGCCCACGCCCTCCACGCCTCCACACACCTACACCATCGCCTACAGTCACCCTCCCACGCCCTCCACATCCACACCTACATCATCGCCTACAGTCACCCGCCACGCCCTCTCCACGCCTCCACACACCTGTCGCCTACAGTCACCGCCACCCTCCCACGCCTCCCACACCTACATCATCGCCTACAGTCACCCGCCCGCCTCACGCCCCCACACCCACACCATCGCCTACAGTCACCGCCACGCCCTCCACCCCACACCCATCATCGCCTACAGTCACCCGCCCACCCTCCACGCCCCCACACCCACACCATCGCCTACAGTCACCCCGCCCACGCCCTCCACGCCCCCACACCCACACCATCGCCTACAGTCACCCCGCCCACGCCCTCCACGCCCCCACACCCACACCATCGCCTACAGTCACCCGCCCACAGCTTTACCTCACACACAACGTCAATGGTCCGCCAAACGTTGTGATGAGTAGTATTGTCCCGCCTGAGTGAGCTAAAGAAACGCCTCACATCTGGTCCCTCCTTCCTCCATAGTGGGTGTCGTGTGTGTCGTAGTGGCGCCCCTCACCACACTATGGTGGGCCAGGCTCTTGCAGGTGTTGCTAGTATAACTCACGAGGGTTGTAATGTGACGGAAATGTTGCTAGTATAACTCAAAAGGGTTGTAATGTCACGCAAATGTTGCCAGCACAATCCACAAAGGTTGCAATGTGACGCAAGTATGTGGGAGTGTGCGCGTGTCTACAGTACAGGATACAGGTGGTAATAGGTATGCACATATGTACGTTTATGCATGCTGTCCACACACCACAGGTACACACACAGCCTTGAGTCGCATAATAAAAAAAACAATTATATTTACACAAACTGTCATGCTCGTTAGTCTAGGTAATTAACAGGTGGACACGACAAGCAACACACACACACCGCTGACCTCAAGTATCTTTTTAACTCTCCCTTCCCTTCCCTTCCCTTCCCCTCCCTTCCCCTCCCTTCTCTTCCCTTCCTTCCCTTCCCTTCCCTTCCCTCCCTCCCTTCCCCTCCCTTCCCTCCCCTCCTTCCCTCCCTAATGCTGCGTGTGTGACATGACTTTCCCGTCAAATTATAGTATTTCTTTATTCATTATCTTTTATGATTTTTTTTTAGTTTACATATAAGTTAGACTGGGTGTATGCAGAGTGGGCTAGGTGTGTATACAGGGGGTAGACTGGGTGTATAGGGGGTAGACTGGGTATGCACAGGGGGGTAGACTGAGTGTATACGGGGGTGGACTGGGTGTATACAGGGGGTGGACTGGGTGTATACAGGGGTAGACTGGGTGTATACAGGGGGTAGACTGGAGTGTGTATGAGGGGGTAGACTGAGTGTATACAGGGGGGTAGACTGGGTGTATACAGGGGGGTAGACTGGGTGTGTATACAGGGGGGTAGACTGGGTGTATACAGGGGGTAGACTGGGTGTATACGGGGGTGGACTGGGTGTATAGCAGGGAGTACTGGGTTGTATACGGAGGGATGGACTGGGTGTATACGGGGGGGTGAGACTGGGTGTATACGGGGGTAGACTGGGTGTATACGGGGGTAGACTGGGTGTATACGGGGGTAGACTGGTCCTATATGAGTGAGCTTTATCGTCTAGGGTAATTATGATAATCATCGGTTGACTCCAGGTATGATAAAACACCCTTGTTACCTCGTATCACTGTATTGGGCCTAATTATTTTGGTTGGGTTGGGTTGGACTTTTCTGGAGGTCTTATGGAGGTACTCATTAGGCTGAGTCCTGACTATTAACCAATACTCAACCTACATTTATCTGGTCCACCGTGAAATTTATGAGTCACCCCGAGGCGTCAGTCAACTATGTGGATCTGGAAGGCATCACAAGGTGGGGGACACGGTAACTATGTCTCCCCCCCTCCCCCTGTCCCATGGTGTGGTCTGGTGTGACTTGTGAGGCTATTGGGGTAGGTTAGGTTAGGTTAGGGACATCGTTTACTTGTCTGTCCACTCCATAACTGTTCCGTCCTTTTAGACTACGAACCACATAACAAAGCTTAAGATATCGTACTCAAGGGTCTAAGATATCGTACTCAAGGGGTTAAGATATAGTAAGATATCGTACTCAAGGGGTTAAGATATAGTAAGATACCGTACTCAAGGGTTAAGATATAGTAAGATATCGTACTCAAGGGGTTAGATATCGTACTCAAGGGTCTGAATACCGTACTCAAGGGGTTAAGATATAGTAAGATATCGTACTCAAGGGGTTAAGATATAGTAAGATACCGTACTCAAGGGGTTAAGATATCGTACTCAAGGGTCTAAGATACCGTACTCAAGGGGTTAAGATATAGTAAGATACTCGTACTCAAGGGGTTAAGATATCGTATTCAGGGTCTAAGATACCGTACTCAAGGGGTTAAGATATAGTAAGATATCGTACTCAAGGGGTTAAGATATAGTAAAATATAGTACTCGGGGGTTCAGATATCGTACTCAGGTGGTAAATAACATTATATACTGTACATGTTTGTGTGTTCAGATGCAAGACGCGGTTCTGTACAGCTGAGTGTGATGCTGTACCTTGAGTTCTCACGTACAGTAATTGGACTGTTTACCCTGCCCCCCATAAAATACTCAAGCGTTACAGGGGCCTAGTCTCCCCCTGTATATTCTTTGCAGTTTATTAACCATTCAACTAACGCAATTAGACAGCGAGCGGCTCAGGTGGTGAATACACAATAAGGTGAGGAAAGCAGCTAGGAGTGGACAGGTGAGTATACGATGTCCTTCCTTGTAACCTAACCTAACCTAACCTAACCTAACCCTAACCTAACCTAACCTAAACTAAACTAAACTTTCCTCACTAACACCTCACTCACTCACTCACCTCACTCACTCACTAACACACACTCACTCAATACACCTCACTCACTCCTCCCCACTCACTCCAATACCTCCTCCTCACTCACACACCTCCTCCCTCCAATACACCTCACTCCCTCCCCACACCCCACTCCACCCACCCACACCCCTCACTCACTACCCCTCCCTCCTCCTTACTCACTCCCTCACTCCCCACTAACACACCTCCACCCTCCTACTCCCCCACCTCACTCACCCCTCCCTCCCCACCTCACTCACCCTCCCACTCACTCCCTCACCTCCCACTCACCCCACTCACTCCCACACCTCCTCCCTCACCCCACACCTCCTCACTCACCTAACACACCTACCTCACTCCTCACTCACTCACCTCCACTCACTCACTCACCACTCATTCCTCACTCCACACACACCTCACTCACTCACTCACACACCTCACTCACTCACCAATACACCTCCCACTCACACTAACACCTCACTCACTCACTCACACACCCCTCCTCCCTCCTCCCTCACCCACTCACCTCCTCCCCACCTCCACTCCACTCACTCCACCTCCTCACCCTACACCTCACTCCTCACTAACACACCTCACTCCCACTCCACTCCTCCCTCCCACCACCTCACTCCCACCCCACTCACTCACACACCTCACTCACTCCTCCCACACCTCCTCCCTCACCAATACACCTCACCCCCCACTAACACACCTCCTCCACTCATCCTCCTCCCCTCCCCTCCCACTCACTCACACCTCACCACCACCAATACACCTCACTCACTCCCTCACACCACCTCCCACTCACTCACCACCACACACCTCACTCACACACTGCAGGCAACATAAATATGAAACCCGACACTCATTCACAACCCAACACAATAAGACCACCAATTAATCTCTTCCTCTCTTCTTCTCCTTTACAAAGATTTCACCATAAAAACAAACCCTCTTCTTCTCTCTCTCTCTCTCCCTTTTGTTCATTTATTCCCCCCTTCCCTTTCTCCAGTTTCATCAACCGTGGTTAAGGTTCGGTCAGGTGCTGTCACGTACGGGGAACTCGATGCCTATACCAACAGCGTTAACCTTACACCACCCCTCAAGTATACCATTAACAATACCAGCTATACCACTACGAACAATCTCTCTCTCTCTCTCTCTTCTCTCTCTCTCTCTCTCTCTCTCTCTCTCTCTCTCTCCACGTGCGTGCATACATACAACCCTCAGTGCCCACGTTAGTGTATTAACATGCCCCCCATACACCGCAATATAGCGTAAGAGCCACTAGAGGATTTAAAGACAGACAGACAAGTTAACAGGGCGGAACACCACACCAACTACAGTACCAAACCACGAAGGCAAATCTTGGAATATAATTAACTACGACATCCACACACGAACGTAAAATAAAGTGGACACTGAGGAGGTAGGTAGTGGTTGGTGTGGTTGTGTGTGGTTGGTGTGGTAGAGTGTGGTTGGTGGTGAGCGAGACAGTGTGTGGACAGTAGGAGGTAGTTAGTGCTTGTGTGGTAGTGTGTGGTTGGTGTGGTAGAGTGTGGTTGGTGGTGAGCGAGACAGTGTGTGGACAGTAGGAGGTAGTTAGTGCTTGGTGTGGTAGTGTGTGTGGTGTGGTAGACGACGGTCCACCACCACCACGCCCCTCCACTAACCTCCCAAGGCTGCCGCCACACTATCACTCAACACCACACACATAAGGTCAGCTCGCTTGGCCCCATCTCAACGTTATAAACTCATGTTCTCTCATCGTGGACGTACAGTGACACATACTACTGACGAAGGAAGTGAAGGTTAGGACTGTACGACATAACACAGCAGGAGAGACTATATATAGCCTTACCTGTACAACAAAGCAAGACATTCACACTACCTGCGTCACACTCGCCTTATCATCGCGGTAACCTTTGGATAACACAGAATCATGTTGACTCTCCCAAACACACAGGACCTAAAGCCTCTGGTGTACCTTCATTCTCTTAACCCCCAAAAGAAGTCGTAAGAAGCCATCGTAAAAACACATGCCAGTCAAGCACAATGGCTCGTCATGCATAAACTGCTAAGGTTACACTCACTGTACAACACGAGTGATGTTCATGACAGCGTAAAAGCAGAGGAAACAACACAGGCTAGTACACTTACCCGTTCAGGATGGGAACACAGTCTGCCAACACCTGGTGTGCCCTAAAATGTAAGTTCACCAAATGTTAGAACCATAACAAGCTGTTTGGACAGGAGTTCTACAAGTCAGGAAATGCACAAGTAAATCTTCCCCGCCCTCATGAACTCAAGAAATATCATTTGTCTTATATAGATATTTTGGTGTTTTCCTGACGACTGTTAAAACTCCTGTCTTTCTTTACCGTCCCCATCAGGAGAGAGATAGGTTGGGTGAGTCCTTCCCCGACAACACCCTCGGCGGTGTTGTGAAAAACTTGACCACTCTTGTGACGGCCAGTATGGAGGCCGCCCCTTGCCTCAGGTGTTGTCTGGGTAGGAGGCGAGGAATCCTTAAAGCAGGTAAACCCCATAACAAGACACCAGTGCAAGAGTAGTGAAGCAGATCTAAT